TTGCTTCTTGCTGGTCCTGCCACATCGACACAGCCCTTTAGAGTATAGGTATATTGACCCTTTCATCACGAACCGCTAAGCCAAAGGACCTCGGGTGGTTGCTGCGCAATATCTGAAGCGGGGATATTTATGGTGGGGTCCTTTTTGGTTCAAACTCTCTTGCATTAGTGCTCTCTAAGAGAACCAAGAATTCGAAGAGGCATTGCACTTTCCGTTTGATTTGTCGTCGCCCTTTGCACTCCTTCAGCCCACGCCTTGATGCACCTCATGCATCTCCCGCGGGTGCAACGGATTTGGTCTTCAATTGTCTTTCATACAACGTGCCCAAAGAATCGCTTTGCACCATTGTCATGATGTCAGTGATCTCAATAAACTAGTAGTAAACGCTGCAGATCAGGAGTGAGCTTTGGGATTTCCTACCGCGTGCACGCCTTGTTCTGCGACGAAAAGGCGAGTCTCCGGAATCAAGGGAACCACAGAAAACAGCACAACAATTGGTAACTGCTGCAGTTGCCTACAACAAAATTTGATGGAGGCGGTCCGCCTGCTGCGGCGCCAGGCAAAAATGCAACTAGAAAAGTCTTTCTCCATGTTAATTTTCAAATTGCCTGCGCATCGCTGAAGTGGACAAACAAAACTCCAAAGTTCTCTGGACCGACAGGGCGCAGCTACAGATAATCTCGCACCTGGAACACCAACAGAAAAAAATCAACTACTTTTCATTGCCCTTCTCAAATTAGTAGCCGCTTCACGCTTTTGATGCACGGGCGAGTAACTGCCTGATTATAATATCTTAGTACCTTTTGAATCTCTTACACTACAAACATTTAAAACAAGCCATATGAAAACTGGGGCTTTTGTACAACTGCATTTTGTTCCATTATCTTTTGTATCCTTAATACTACCGACATGTAGAGCGCTTCATACATCTGCCGAGGCACATGAGAGCAGCTACTAACAATGGCCCATGTCGCAGCGTCAGTCCAGGCTGCAGTTCCGAAAGAGCCTTGTGATAGGAGGATCAGTGCGATCCTAGGGAAAACAGCAACCCGATGTAGTCTCAGCTACTGAAGGTTCCCTGCGCCCCCTTGTCTCCTGGATATCCCACTCATGCAATGGGCGCTCGTGATCCGCTGCTTCACAATGCCCTCTCCCCGCCAGTGACATTTCCTTTCCGTTTGGACGTGGACGGAACGCAGACATCAGAGCTCTCAGAGAGTTGCCTTCCACTCCCTCAACGCCTGCAAATGTTTGCTCTTCTCCATGCACTTCAGGACGAGAAAAAAAGGCCGAAATTCTGCTTAACAGAAAGCTTCAAGAGTTAACGATTCTCTTCACCAGATTTGGGAAACGCAAGGAACGAATAAGCTGCTGCGGCACTTGCTGCTGCTGCATCAGCTGCCGGAGTCGCTGCTGCCTGGTGGATGCCAAGAGGGTGCTGCTTCGCCTGGTTGTTTGTCGGGTGCCCTCTCCAGGCGTTCTGCAAGTTGCGTATCTCCTGAAGTAGCCTCTGGGTGGCTTGGCTCCTCTGGTCCTTCAGTGGGAAAGGCACCCGCACCGATCACTGGGGGAGCTGTCCCAAGCGGTCCCCATACTCTCGAGGTAAACGGCCAAGTGTCGACCTCCGGAGAACCTTCTTGTCCGGCAGTTCCTGAAGCCGAACGATATTGCGTCGGTAACCACGGAGAGGGAGGCAAAGGCTGC